GAGAATGTAATCCACGTCCGAGTCCTTGGGTAAATGTGTTTTCTAGTTCCCCTGAGTCTGGGAGAGGGTGGGTATACTCTTAGGGAACGTGTTTCCACCTGACAAAGCAAAGAAAAAAATTGTGTTTTTCTTTTTTTTTCCTCTCTTTTGTAGAGGTAGAATGAACTTATGAAAAGAACATGCCTTGTTGGACCTAGATAGGTCAGGGTCCAAAGTCACATTTTCTCACTTCATAGCTGTGTGACCATGGGCAAGTTACATCAAAGTATATTTTTGGGTCCAGTTTCCCATCAGTAATGCAGACCTTGCTGGGCGCTCTGAGGATCAGAGGTAGTCTATGGAAGGCCCTTTAGAACAGGTCTGGCTCTTAGCAGGAGCAGAGTGTCACATGGCCCCTCAGGTCCCTGCTGCTGGGTGTGTGCGGCCATGGTTGAAAGGAACTGCTCTCATTCAACACGGACAGACAGGCTCCACAGGAGTAGCAAGTGCTGCATGCCACCTCACCTAAGATGGGGCTCGGGAGCGCAGAGTTCCTGGTTTTCAAAGAGAAAAAGCAGACAACCAACAGCACCCCTACCTCTGTCACCCACTTTCCTCCAACATAAACATTCAGAAAAGTCTGCAAAGCCCTAGTCCTCCCGGGAAGCCCTTAAGTGGCAGTTTGCTGCCCTCTGCTGTCCACCTGGAGAACTCCCTGGGTGCTTTTGGCCTTGCCATGGGCCTTAAAACCCCAAGGAGCTTGGCCGCTGAGGCCCGCCCAACCACTCCGAAGGTGCACCCCGGCAGGGGCTACATAATCTGAAGGGTCCAATGAAAAATGCCGAGCACCTTGTTAGAAAATTTGTTAAGAGTTTCAAGACAGCGACAACAGAAGTATTAAGACCAAGCGATGGGCACTATTTAGGGCAGGATTCTGCGCAACTGCCTGTGTGGCGGCCTGCCTAGGAAGCTGGCCTTTTCTCATTGTTACCTGCTCCTGACATCAGGATTCCGGACCTATGACAGTCTCAATAATTCCCCAGGGAGCTGAAACTAGTAGAACATGTTCGAAGAGGGGAGGTGGGAGCAAAAAAAATTAAAAAAAAAAAAAAAAAAAAAAAAAAAGCAGCATACCTTGTCCTAGCCTTGGGAACCTATTCAGACTCAGGAGTTAGACAGAGACTCAAATATTAATTTTATTACGGAACAGCCTGTATTGAAGGACAGAGCTTACATATAACTAAAGGGTGTGCTAAAAGTCATTCTCAAATGCGACAAGGAGAGACCAGCCCAAATGCAGATGTGGACGGACTGCTGTCTCTGGCTCATCAGGAATTCCGTGCACTTCCATGGGGAGATTTAAGGGGTAGAGCCGGTGCGAAGAGTATCTACGGGAAAATCCGTCCCTATGGAACCCAGAGCAGTAAAGCGAAAGTGTATTAGTCAGGCACTAACTAGGAAAATAGAAACCACTTCAAGTGTTTACAACAAAGGGCATTTGATGCACGGAACTCGTTTCAAAGGTGGTGAAGGTACTGAGCAGCTTAAGCCCAGAACGAGCAGGAACAGGAAGCCGCTTCCACTTGTAGGATGAGGAGCGGACGGATGAGCTGGTTTCCCAGATCACGGGTGGAGGCTGGAACCCCAGCGGCTTCCTCACACAAGAGCGGGCGCCATGGAGGAAACAGAGCTGCTGCTCTTCCGGAAATGGGAGGAGGAGGAGGAGCGCGGCGCCCTGGCTCCTCCCTCTGTCCCACCCGCAATCTCCTCCCCGTACCGTCGGTTGCCCACACTCTGCTGATTCAAGAAGGGGATGCAGGAGTGTGGAGAAGACGGCCCGCAGGGGCCGTTCCCCTGCATTTCGGAGGAGGGGGAAGGCAAGGAGTGGGTTGAGGCAGAGACCCGCTCAGAACCACAGCTCTTCCTTGATGCGTAAGAACTCAAGGGGGCCAACTGCCTAGTGGCTAAGAGCTAAACTCTGCCTGAGACGTGAAAGGCCTTTCACAGGCCAGGCCACTTTATGAACCCCATTTCCTGCTATTCCGATTTTCTTGTTGTCAGGTTGCTTCCTAATTCCAGGCTCTTCGACGTGCTCCCTATCCTTTGCCCACACCATCCCCTTCCCCTGCCTGCCCTTTTCTCACGTCCCCTCTACGCTGACTTCTCTTCACTCCGTGCTTCTCCCCCTTTTTATTTCCTTCTTTCCCTTCTCATCCCTTTCTTTCTTGCCCATTAATGTATATGTTGTTACTGTTTGCCAGTAAGTGGAAAATATTAAATATTAAAACATATTGTAACCACTGACCTCCACCCCACCTCCATAGGCAGGAAGTCCTGAATCCAGATGTAGTTGATTAAAACTAGTCCTAACTTTCTTATCAAGCCACTAGATGTCATACTGATTTCACAGAATTGGGAAGCCCATACAAGAATTCAAAGCCTGCAAAAAACAAACATATAAACAAGCATCTTAATTATTTTCCCTTAAAACATCAGACTTCTATTTACAGTAATGATTAAGATGTTACTGGATAGACATACAGAAATGGAAGCACTGGAGGGTGAACAGAAACAGGTAGGTTTTGGTGGGAAGTCGCTCTCCAGACACGGAGAGAGAAGTTAAAGAAAGCGAGCTCCTTGTTTCTGCTGCTTTCGGCCAGGGGCCAGGTGCAGGCTGTGTCGTGTGAGCCAGTGGTGGTGCGGGGCGGGGAAAAAGCCGTATTTTTGGTCCATGAAAACAGAACATTGAGTTCAGGGCAACTACAGCTGCTAAAGGGAGGAGGAGTCCTGGAAGGGAAAGGGCCAGAGATGGGATCCCCAAATTCTGCTCATACCTCAGGCTGACCGCTAGACCACGCACACACAGAATAGACACCCCCACACCTCAGCTAAAGAGCAAGAGATCTGAGAGATTGGAGCCTCCACCCAAGAGTCTGTCATTTAATCAAGGAAAATGCCTGCTAAGAATGACATGAAATAACCTGTTAGAGGAAAATACCAAAGTTGAGAACCTCCACAATTAACATTAATGTATACAGTCTAAAATTACCTAACATATGAAGAATCAGAAAAATGAGACCTATTCTCAAGTGAAAAGATGTTATGCTAAGTAAAAGGACTCAAACACAAAGAACTACATGCTGTATGATTCTATTTATGTAAAATTCTAGAAAAGGCAAAATATCACAGGCCCAGAAAGCAGATCTGAGCTTGCAGAGGTTGAGTCAGGAGGGGACTAACTGCAAAGGGGTATGGGAAACCTTTGGGGTTATGATATATTCTATATTTTGAGTGGTGGTAATTATACAACTATCAATATATACAATCGCTCAATCTTAACAAGTTATGCACTTGAAGTGAGTTTTACTTTACATAAATTATACTTCAATAAGGTTGGGGAAAAGGTAAATGAAAAAATCACAGGCAATGGGTTTTCTCATGGCTGCAAGATACTGGTACATATTGCAAGTGTTCTTTGCATCATGGTCGATTATGTAAATGAGTCAATTTATCTTTTAATTCTGCTGCTGGATTGGCTCAATGGGGCTATAACATTCTTGTACAAGTAGTGGCACCAATTCACAGCATGCACAAAAGCTCTATTGCTCCACTTCTTCACCCACACGTGGTATTAGGAGATGTAAAAACTTCAAGTCTGCTGGGCAAATAGCATTGGGATTTTGAACTTGCATTTCCCTGATTAATAATGGAGTTGAGTATCTTTTCATGTTTACTGGCCATGTGAATTTCTTTTGTTTTGAGGGGGGTACTGTCCTACTTCTGGCATGTCATGAGAAGGCAGGGTTCTTTGGGAATTGTTTCTTTTCAGCAGATGTGGGTTAAAGGAAATAGTGACTCCTGAGTATGAAGGTGCCTTCCATTTAATAAGGACCCAACAAAATGCTTCAGTCCCCTTCCCTCTGCCCGCAGCCGCTCACTGGCAACAGCTTGCCTCTAAAGTAGTGGCTCACTGAAAATGTTTCTCTTCAAAGGAGCTGGAATGTTCTTTCTTCTCTGTTCCCACTCCCACCAGTATGTCTTGGGATTTGAGGCAGGTTTTCCCTCAACATTTCAAAGAAATGGGAAGAAGCAAGACCCTCTGAGGTCTCGTTCAAACCGAAGGATTCCAGGGAGCATTTGCTGTCAAAAGCCCAAGGTCATCGCTGTTTAGGAAAGTCGTCCCCCTCTTCAATCCACGTTTCTCCCCAGCCTTGAGCTGCATCCACAGAAAGCGCAGGGGCCAGGAGTCCAGGCTGAATAGTCAGGGTGGCTATTTAAGGCTCTACCACTCACCAGTCATGACTTTGGATGACCTATCCTTTCAGAGCCTCAGTTTGGGGGTGATGATGTCACTGCCATTAGGACTATTTTGAGAATCAAAGGAAACAATGCATACACTCCATACCAATACACTTGGCCCAGTGCCCAGCACACAGTAAAAACTGAGTGAATCCAAGGTTTTGTTATACGCGTGAACTGTGCACAAGTCCCATGGTGATGCTGAGGACAGGGGCAACGTGCAACCCTACTACTGAGAAAGTAAGCACCGTGCAGGCAACCACCAGGCCATATCTACCTCTGTACCCCATGTCTGCCCTACCCCCGGTTCCTGGCATATGCCCAGCAGGTTGGGTCAACAATCACAAATGCTCAGTGGCTGAGCTGCAGTGCTTTTTTCCTCTCCAAGGCCCTACTGCGGTACCACAGAACGTGGGACATGACTTCAGGGTTGTCTGGGACCCACAGAAAAGCTGTCCTGCAAAACTTCTGTCGAGTTTAATGAAGCACTGAAGAGAGAGAGAGGGAGAGGGAGAGGGAGAGACACAGAGACAGAGAGAGAGGCAGGCAGACTAATTGCCTTGTGGATGCTTTTGAGAAACTCAGCTAGAGTTGAACACCAACTACTGGGCTTGGTAGATGTTGTTGAAAGAATTATGGCTTTGATCTCCTTTACTCTGTCCTTTATATGAGCACCCACAGCACAGAGAGAGTGTTTCATTTTCAACAACATACACTTTTGCAGATAAAAAAGGTGACCCACACTTTCATTTTCTTTATTTTTCATTGATACCGTATGAATACAAAGTTTCTAGAAAGCTACAAAATGTCTACCACTTTATCAAGAAGGCATCAAAATGTGTCACTTTGCAAAGACATGAAAACACCTGCAGGAACTGACACAAAAATAGCATTTTTAGAGTGATGAAATAATTGCACTTAACTGTCATGGATATTAAAGTTATCACACATATGTACCGCGAAAGCTAGAATACATTTTTTTTTTTTTACAAAGCACTTTATAAAAAAATTCTCTGCACACAAACCCTATAATTTTCATATAACTATCATACTAAAGATAAATTCACTTTAAAGCCAACACTTAGAACATTTTTAAACAAAAAGGTACCAGTACCTAAACACAGACGTTAACAAATACAAGAATACTGTACTGCCAAGAGGTTTAACCAAATGCCTTTTGAGTTTCTGCAAACAGGTTAAGAAAAATGTGTGTGAGAATCTGCCCCCCCCACCCCCAATCTCTCCAACCTACCCAAGAAGCCGTATGGCCCGGAGGCAGGCTCCACAGCCCACTCCCGGCAGCAGTACAACATCAAAGGGACCACTGACCAGATGAAACGCTCACGTCACAAGCCCATTTTATACACGTGACATGGAGACACAGACTGTGAGAATCCCATTAAGTCATTTAGAATGTGAACAAACACACGTGGCAAAAAACCAATTTACGTAACGTTTAAGCATATTAAAGAATTAAAGGCTATTCAGGTTTTTTTTTCAATGTTACAAAATTTTTTTTGTCGTTTTTCAGGCACGTACTGTTTTTGTTTTTACTTTTTTTTTCCTTTATCTGCAGTCATAAGCCTATTGAAAAAAGGCCTATAGAAGTGAATCAAGGAGGTAACAGGGAGATTTTTTTTTTAAAGAAGTGCAGTTAATATCTAATTTACACAGTGAAACTAATCACATAAAATGACTGATGTGAAAAAAGGAAAGAGAATCAGAGACTCGTTTCCAATTGATTTACGCCTAGATTCTGTCAGCTTCTCTTAAAGAAAGGGGGAAGGAGAAACAATCTCATGACGGAAGCCAGGCAAAAGACAGTCCACCTGACAGGTAGTCTGCTGGAATCTGACCCCACTAAATGATGAGCAAGTGGGGAACATAAATGCCATTTCAAATACTAAAGTGTAGTGTGGCATATGACTGACTCAATGCAAATTCAGAGAATAAAACAAGTTACGGCTAAAGAAGCGGGACAATAAATACAAATATTTCCTCTTATTGAATGGTGCACGACTTCGGTGAAACTATCCTTTGCGATACAATACATTTCAAACACAAAACCTTCATTCTTAACAGTCTAAGCAATGAGTTTCTGAAAGGAAACTATTGCCAAACAAAGCACAGTAACAGCTGAAAAGAGAAAAAGAAACAAGTATTTGATGAATTTCTTCCAAGTTGTGGTAAAGTACACTGAAGGGAGGGGCTGAATTCAAGCAGCTAACTATAACTTGCATGAAGTAATTTTCCTTTTTATTTGATTTTTTTTTTCCTGTAGAAATTCCCATAAATAGTCACAACTTGGTGTAGACAGAAAGCGCTCCTGAAATTTCAGAGCCCAGAGAGGATATTTGTAAAGACACCAGGTAGGAGACAGACGGAACATACGCGTCAGAGAGTTCAGAGGCTAACTTTGAAAGGTGTCTGATGTCATTTTTAAGTCTATACTGGTAAAGAAAAATCTCTTTTCCTTGGCTTGTTTGGCTGGTGTTTTTGCCTTCTTGTCCTTCTCACTTCTCTTCCTTACCTCTATCCACGTTCCCAATTTATACAAGGTTTTGATAAAAGCCAACAAGGACTTTACAGAACTGCCCTCTTGAGGGCTGGAACATTCTTTGAAAATGCCGAATTGTGAATGGTGCTCTTTGGAAGTTTCTCATAGCACAGTCATACAAGACACTCAGAGTCCCCATTTTCGCCCTAAGAAGAACACTTCAATTGTCATGACCCTAACTCATTTTTGTTCTGCACTGTCATCTCAGTTTGAGGCTTCCAACTTTCAACATGGTGTCACTGTGTGAACCAGGTAAGTGCGCACGGTCACCTGACTGGGAAAGAAAGCCTCCACAGAGACTGAACTCGGACACCAGGAGGAGGGCCGATCTGTCCACTGGCCAAGAGTCTGCTGTCCGTGTGCGTGCAGGGCCGGGTGGCAAGCGGAGATGACACGCTGGGTCATCGGCACACACAAGCACAACAGTTCCTCGGGTCCCTCCAGCGGCGGCGGTGTGCTCCTGGCGAGTGGTGGCGGGGACCCCCCCACAGCGGACAGACTCACCGCAGGCGGGGTCCATGTCGGGCGCTCGCAAACCGAGGCCTGTGGCTGGTTACTCATCCCGGTAAACCAAAGGCATTGCGGTGATCTCAAAATATTTTTGGTCTCTCTACAAATTATCATTATTATGGCAGCACTTTTCTAAGCTGGAATCTCAAACCAAAGGCACTTTCATGCTAGAGTGCAGAAGATTCACAAATAGCTAAGTATTTGGTCGTGAATTTAAAAGGCAACATGAAAAGTACAATTTGCTTTTTCATAGTGAACTATGAAGTTGCAAAACCTTCTGTTTGGTATATACATTTGAGAGTCTGGCCAAAGAACTGATATACGTTTGGTTTCAGATTTTAGACCAGGCAGTCAGTTTCTTGTAGAACTGGAGAAAAGTGGGCTTCCTAAACAAAATGAAAACAATTTTTGCTTGTTCCGTGTTAAATATCGGGCCAATTAGTAAATGGGCATTGAGAACAGGTGTAAGAAAAGGCTGGCGGCACGACTAAGGTATCACTAAGGCACTGCTTACTGGAACGCTTTGGCAGCTCTAAGTTTAAAACTTCCTAAAAAAGTAACAGTAGTAAGAGAAATGCTTCCAGCTTACAAAAGGGCTCACAGTTCCGAGGCAGCCTTTTGCACTGCATACCCTACACGCAACATTTCAAAGATTTAAGGCTTTTCAGAAATGACATGTGCAGGGCTTTGCCACAGAAACAGCAACATAAAGAAACGAGCAATGCAGACGTATCCCCTTAATGTCACAGGTGTGAACGCCAACGAACAAAATTCGTTTTACCCTTCGTTAGGACAGGTGTAGTGTACCAGAGCATATACAAAATCATACAAATTATATGTACCTGGTTTGTAAAATTGACTGTAGTCTCATGATTTAAATAATTTACTGTTATACAAAAAAAAGAAAAAAAAAACAACACAACAAACAAACTGCTAAAGCCACTACAGTACTGAAACCTAGAGACTTGGGTTTAAAAGCTATCTGGGGATTTGTAACACCAAGTTCTTGGAACGGGGCCTGTTTTTTGGCTGGTCTGAGTGTGGGACTTTGCTGCCGGGACACCTACCTATTAGAACTTGGACTCAGAGCCTGTGGCAGGTGAACTGTCCTCAGGGGGAGCGAAAAGGCTCATCAGTTTTCACATCTGCTTGTGGGCGCTCCCAACAGCTCGGGCCAGACAAGGCTGGCCGGCTCTCCATCTCCCTTTCTCGTGAGCTGACACCGTCCACACGTCTGTAGGGTCGTTTTGGCATGAGCACCGAAGGGGAACAACCTCCACTGGGAGAGGCCAAAGGTTAAGTGGCAGGAGTGCTAGAGACTCACCCTCATTCCGTCACTAGCCAAGCTGGGTGACTTTGGGCAAGTCATCTCCCCTCTGAGCCTCAATTTTATCACCTACAAAATGAAGGAGAGTAGACTGTGCTCTCTTTTAGGTCAATAAAGAAAAAAATTCTATTAGCCCTCTTCTGGAACTGATCCCTCTCTCCTCCCTCCCTAAAGATGAAAAGACATGTTCCAGAGGCTTCCCATAAATATAAACAGCACTGAGTGTAAGGCAGAAAAGTAGAAGACCAGAGGAAATTTACTGAAATGATTAAAGGTTTGATAATGAGACCCATGAGCTTATGACAGATATTGGAAATAACTGTGCATGTATTTTTTTTTTAACCCAGTGAACTAAGGATTGAAGATGAAATTAAAAATGCTCTTTAAATAGGAGTGAGCTGATCATAGGGATGGTGGTGACCAGCTGTTCCCGACTTCTCCAGGCATGAATGAAAGGATACTTGTGGCAAGAGAGACTCTATCATGAAAGAGAAGTTCTGAAACAGGAAGAAATATGGACACAGCGTCACTTGTGTAATGTCACTTGATGACTGACACAAGGAGAGATGCTGTCTGCGGGTGAAATGGAAGGAAAAAGAAACTCTCAGATACAGTATTTGTGACCTGCGTGATCTAGGGCAGTGGTTCTCAACTAGGGCAGATCTTGTGCCCCGGCGCCTTTGGTGATGTCTGAAGACACTTGGGGTTGCGACAACGGAAGGAAGAGTGCTGCTGGTGTCCAGTGGGCAGAGGCCAAGGATGCTGCCAGACCTCCTGCAACGCACAGGACAGCCCCCGCCACGAAGAATCACCTGGGGCCGAAGTGTCAACGGTGCCGAGGCCGACATCGGCCGTGGGCACTTTGGGCTTTCTGGAATTCTGGGACGTGTTCTGGAAGAAGACCTGACTTTATTGCAGGTCTCTTGCTAAGGTGGAAAAAGAATGCCAACAGACCAGAACCCAGTTTTTCAGCTACTCCCTGTGTGGGGAGTGAAAAGTTGGCCTCCAGACTCTCCAGCAAAAGCACACGATGTCCCTGAATCCACCCTGGTGGTGGCGAGTTACCAGGGGATACGGCACCTGGGGGAGAGCGGTGAGGGCAGAGCTTCGGGGTGTCTTCTTTAACTTACGAAGCTTCACAGACAAAGGGAGAAGACTCTGCCATAAAGGATGCAACACCACAGAAAGACATGGGTTAGATGTTAAACAAATGCCACGCTGGGTCTAATTCAGGAGAGATGGAGAGAGGACCAAGAGTTTGGGTTACTGGACCAGTGGATACAACAGGGAAAATACCTGTTTTGGAGGAAACTTGAAAGAATAAGACAAGAAGTAACTTTAAAAGGTCTTAGAGCAAAAGAAGTAAGCAAAAAGATTTAAGAGCAAAAAGTAATCCTCAGGGTAGTTCACGTAAACCCCCCCAGACAACTACAAAAGGGTCCAGAAGAGGGCGCTGGCAGCGTTAGGGCCCGGCCCGACTCTGGGAGTCAGCAGACCAGGCCAGACCCTTCTCTGCAACCAACAGAACGACCCTCACCCTCCACCGGGCCTTCTTGGGTCTCAGTCTGTTTGTGCTTTGAAAAGTAAATCCCAAGAGCTCTTCTGGCAGCACAGAAGAGACCCATTCCTGGGTGGGAGCGTGAACCAGATACCTCTCCCCCTGGAGTTATGGAGTAGCTTTGGCTTTGAGCCACATAAATCATTTGCACGCCTCCAGTTCTAGGGTGCTGCTCCTGGAGGGGGGGGGGGCACAGTCCCTTGAGGAAAGATGCAAGAGATAGGAGCAAAAGCAACATCTCTAAGAGGGGTGACCAACACAAGAAGCTTAAATGCTTGGGCTGAAGACCCTATGGAAGAGCAGACAGCTGGGGCAATCCTTCAAGGGCTCACCTGGTACCAGGGAACAGAAGGTAGTCTCCTGACAGAAGGAAGATGGACAACCTTCCTACTGATTTACTTAAGGGATATACACTCCAAATGGAGAAAGTATTGTACTTTCTTCTCTGGTCTTCCCGTGACCAGCGGTACGAGGCTGGAAGAGGCCAGGCTTGGTCCAGTGTTCTGCTTGCCACGAGCCCATCACACCCTCATGCTCATGACCACCAGACACGAACCAATAGCCAGGCGAGGTCAGAGCAGACAGTGAGACAAGAAAGCGGGGATAGATGTTACCTGGGTGTGCGAGAACGAAGTTTTTATTTTCTGGCTTGATGAAAAGATTTTGATATGTCACATTTTACACAACTTATTTCACATTCTATTGTGTTAACATGTTTCCAGTAATTATAAAAATGTCACTTTCTTCTGGGAAGTTGGAGGTGTGTCCTCGTGAGTATTTCCCGATGAAGTGCTATGGAAGGAACCTAAGACATGTTACGTGGCTCCATGAAACAAAATCTGCCCGGGCCAGGCTTTGGAACATTTGGGTTGGAAAGTTCAATCTTTCTTGGGAAGAGAGCCTCCCAAATGAGCCTGTTTGAAAGGTCAGAGATAGATAGCTGGGTCTCTTAAACCTCAGTCAAATAAGTACTGTGACTTATTGAGAGATGACAAGAAAATAGAAACAGATTGAAGTATACAGAGATAATCAGCACCTAGCAAACTTAGTGACACTAACTAGCTGTTCAATAAATATGTTCAATAACCATATATGTATATGTGTATATGTATACACAAACACATACATACATAGTTATAGCAGGTTAATTAACATGCATATTGGATCACCAGAAATAAACACTTTATCCACAGGCTGGTGAGGATGCTTGCCAGTTTCTGGGGAGCAGAGATGCTAAGACTGATGAGCCTTTTACTTGTCTGGTTGACGAAATTTTCTCCCAGCCACAGGGTTTTCTATATTTTGCAGCTCACAGTGCAGTATTCATGCCAATTTTAATTTTTTGTTATTAAATTTCAGTGGTTCAAATATTTACTCATCTTAATAAAAAAATTTGGTTGTCCATATAAAATATAACTGCACACACAAGACTATAAACATTGTAAGTTTAGATTTTCAGTATTTATCTACTTATTGCAAAAAGAGCCATCTTTTCTTTTTCATTAAATAATCAATTATCACATTAGTACAATACACTTTTATATTTTTAAATATACTATATATGTTAAGGATAAGGGGTGAAGTTTTCTTCCTTTGTAATACCTGTTCAAGAGTTTAATGGATTAGGAGATTAGTTTTAACCTTGTGAAAAAAGTACAAATTTGTCTCATTAGGATACTTCTACCAAGCATTTCTTAAGGCTATATTTTAACATTTGGTTTCAAAAAGAAAGAAAAGTTTCATTTAAAAAATAATTTAGTGAATTACATTCTTTCATAACTTCCACCCTAATTAGTTACAAAGATAAGTCTAAAGATTCTTAGTTTTGTGTACTAATTTACATTTATATTTAAAGATTAATTTTACTTGTATCTTAAAACAAGAATTTTATGTTGGAAAAAAAAGAACTAAATACATTTGTATAAAGGCTGTAAATGTCCCATGGCAAATGCTCTGTCTGAGTATTTTCTACCACAATTAGGAACAGGTCTCTGTAGACAGAGACATGGGTTAAGGTTCACCTTTCCCAAGGAATTGTGGGCTGCAGATCTGAGGAACACATAGCAACAACTCGATTTCTCTTTTTACAACTGTACCAGAACTTCACAGCTATGATGATCGTATGAACACATGAAAAAATGACTTCACTCAAACAGGATTTAGAAAAGTCAGGTGACCTCAGGGCCAGGCACCACCCCTGCATGGTGAGGTTTACAGTCAGTCGTTTGATAGTGGAGAGTGTGTGTGTGTGCGCGCATAGGTGTGTGTGTATATACAGGTATCTATATATATAAATAACCATGTTCAGTCCTTTACAAGCCTGTAGATATGATGTTGTGCTCCATGTTCACTATTTGAAACTTCAAATACACAGGCCATGCAGAGGAGAGTTTCTTGTGTATCCCTGTTTGTTACCACCTGTTAAAAAAAAAGGATATATATACATATGTAAATAAAACACCACATGGATGAAAACATATTCCATCTGTGCCACGATGACTTTGATTTACCTGGAGAGAAAGAGTCTAAAGTCTAAGAAGTGGATTATCAGAAATCTGTCCTGCCTCACTCTGGCCCGTCCAGCACAAATTCAGGATATTACAGGCTGGACTTGAAACCTATATGAGTGAACACATCCAAGGAAGACGTGACTGAAAGAGCCTCACCCATAATCTGAGTCCCAGAAGAGGCCAGAAGAATTAGTATGGGTTTTTCTTGAGGCGGGGGAGAGCTGATTACTTTAAAACAAAGTTTCCTACAACTCTGTCCCATGAGGCAGTCATTTATCTTAGGAATCCTAAACTTTTACTTAATTACTCCTAAACTTTTACTTAATTTTTTTCATGATAGCCCATGACAGACAATACGCTTTGTGAGTGCCTTCCTTACCACCTTGAACCAGCAGCGCCCAGATAGGTGAAACCTACGCGAAGTAAAGGAGCAGCGGTATAATTACATCAAATGATCATTCTTTTAGTCTAAATAGGTTTTACTTTTCAAAATGTATTTTGGAATATTTATTTGTTTCCCCTCTTGAGTGGACTGGCTCACGTCCGCCTCTCTCCTCCTCACGCGGGCTCAGCCTCCGTCCAGCCCCGGAGCGATCCAGCCCAGGTCACGGCAGCCCCGCCCCACCGGACCCACCTCCCTCTTCCCCTCGCTGTCTCAGTCTCCTATGCTGCTCTCAGAAGGAACTTTCTGAAAGCAAATCTAACCCAACTTCCCTACTCAAAATGCTTCCAGGAATCGGTTATATCTGTTTCATGAGGCCAGCTCAGTGTTTTCAAATATTTTGAACTTGAGGGCCTAGTCCAGTTTGTCATGGGTCTCCTTCTCCCCTATGTATCAATCAGGCTGCTTTGCCCATTTAGCTTCCCTTACGTTTAAGGCATCCAAGTTCGTGGTCCCTGACTAAAGTCTCATAGTACTTGTCATCTTCCCATCACAGCAGTCTGAACTATCTGTAAGTACATTTGCATTATTTGTAAGTAGATTTGCATTACTTATTTTTAATGCCCAACTCATCCGTGGACTGTTAAGTTCCTGAAGATCAGGGACCATGTTTCCCAGTAACTAGCTCAGTGTTTGGCACACAACAGTCATTTAATAAATATTTGCTGGATGAATGAAAATTCACATTATAATAGCTAACATATACTGACTACTTAGTATGCATCTACTTAGCATTAAGTGCTTTACATATACTGTCTCATATGACATAATAGCACTTCTACGAGCAGGTGCTGTATTGCTCCCCTTCTGACAGGGAAGGGGGCTGGGGGTTAGTTTGTTTAAGGATATACAACTGCCAACTAAGGAATCCAGATCTTCTAATTCTGAAGACCATTACACCATGCTGCTTTAGAAAACTGATACATTGGATTATCTACTTACTTTTTTTTCTGAGCAATAAAGATTTTTTTCATTACTGGTACCCATGTGCTTTTCTAGTTTTATTTCCCACCACTGCCCTCACAGATCAAATATTCCAAGCACGTAGTCCTTTCATCCTTGAAACCTCTCCCCTGCGCATCACCATACCCAAATGCATGCCGTACTCTGCTGCTTTTACTCCTGGGTAGTTCTCGAATCCACCCCCTTGACCAAGGTATCACCGACCTCACCTACTTTCCCCTCCCAGGGCCGCCCTGGCTCAGTACCAGGCACACCTGTGCAAGCAGCCACAAAACCCTCTCAAGAAATAAAAATATGACGAGAGCACACTCTTGTTGAAAAACCCTGATGATCTTTTTTAAACTTTTGAACTTTATTTAGAATGGGGAGAAAACCTGTGCTCATCCTACAGGGCGGAGGAGACCCCGCCCAGTCTGGCTGTTCCTCCCGGCAGCTCACTGCTCCTTGCCCTCCTCCCTCTCTCCACGCAGGCCACATGGCCCTGTTTTCAGTCCACCTGCCCCTGCCTGCTAGCCTGCCGGCCTGCAGAGCTCTTCCCCACCCTCTCTGCCTGTTCACCTGGCAGGTACCTTTCAATTGCTCCTTCCGTAGGGAAGCCTTCCCTGACCTCCAGAACTAGGTCAAACGCTCCCACAATATATGCTCCACTGGTACCAAGTACCCACCTCTGCAGCCATCAGCCCCCGCTTAGTTCACGTTCACTCCGTGCTTCCTCGGGGAATGCCTGCCTCCCTCTCCAGCCTCCAAGATGGCTGCCCCACCTGTCTAGGTCACCAAATCCTAGAACTTGACACTTAATTATGCACCCATGAAATGGCCCTTTTCTTGGTAAATCTGAAAAATGTCTGTTTATCTATCGAGGCAACTTAAACACCATTTTTAATATCCTTGAGAATCCTCTACCTCGCCCCAACTACAGGTCCCTGCTCAGTACTTGTGCTTCCATAGTGCCTGCTTCATGAGTATGCTACAGCCATGATGAAGCTGTGCTGTAATCATATGTTTACCTGCCTCTTTCCCCTACCAGGCCAACATTTACTATGACACAAGTATGTGTTTTATTTGCACTGTATTCTGGCAACTAGTTTAGCTGAATGAAGTAAATCATTCCCAAAAACCTTTGAGGTGGAGAGTACAGATTTGAACATTTTGTTTGTAAATGGAGGAAGAAACTGAGGCTGGGAGATTTTAAATGGCTTACCCAAGGTCATAAACCTCAAGTTTCCTCATTCCACAATCACAAAATATCCTGCAAAGTATCTTTTCCATCAATTCAAGTCTTAATTTATGCCTATCATTGGCTCTGTGACCTAACGCGTTAGGGGAGACCTGACATTCCCTATCCATAAAATGGGAATAAAAATGACCTCACAGTTCTGCAGTGAGAATTTCATATTATAACGTTTACAAAAAGTTTTAACACGTGCCTGGAACATCTGTGATCTATCCTACCTTCTTGCAAGTTTTCTGTGAAAGAATATATCCTATTTAGGCTTCATGATTGAGATTTGAAAGGAAGAAAGGAAAAAAAAAAAAAATGTTTCCAGCAACCTGTATGTCTGAATACAACCTCAAAAGACGACAGGAAGTCTTGGCCTATGGTTCCGTTGCCGTCTTCCTCTGTCTGTGTGGATGCTGTCACCAAGGCTCTGCATCTACAGGTTCACCTTGATTCCTGAATAATCCTGATGGAACCGGATGGCCTAGTCCACCAGGCTGTCAGGCCTGGAAATGGTCTTGCTGACACAGGCTTTGTATGCAAGGTACCTAGTACAACGTCTGCAACTGTGGCCAGCAGCCGCCGCCCCTGCCATGTTCCCGCCCCCACCCGAGGAAAAGCAGAAAAGTACTCCTTGCTCCTCTTACCAACAAGGTGAGCTGGTTCTCATAATCCCGGCGTGCTGGCTTATTTCAGCTTTTCTAAAGCTAAAATACTATTTCTAGCAGATATTTATTGACAGCCACGAATTCTTCATATCAAAGGAATTCATTTAGTTGCTTAATGAGATATTTTGAAATTAATTTAGTATGGTGTGTTCTCCGGACATCTATGCTGTGTAAAGTCACATGTTCCAAGGGAGCATTACTAATATAGTTACATGGGTTTTATGGGTAACAGATGCTTTAAGTTTTTCCAGGCCTATTTTCCACAGCTATGCTCTATGAGGTAGGGTTTTAGGGACTAAGGGCATATTCCTTAAAATGTTGAAACAGACACAGGACTTGTTTTCAAGAAATAGCTAAGACTCCTTCCAAGAGAGGTGACGTGGCCCTCCACTCAAAGAATTGTGGTTAATTCCTGGGGCTGTTTACTGTTCATACCACCTCCTGCTCACCTGAGTGCTACGGAGACCTATTCTAAAACATGACAGGGAATACTTATGTGACAAGGACCTGCCAGCACCCTAAACCTTGAACTGTTCAATATTCACCAAGGACCACTAGAGAAAAAGATACTAATGAAAACTAGTTATTAAACAACATGTTTTCCAAACTTTCCCCCAAACTGCTAGTTTTTCAATTTCAGAGGGACCTGGACACATTTAAGAATCCACTGAAGCTCTCACCCTGAAAGTTATGAAAATCAGCTCATTTGCCAGTTCCCCAGAGCAAGGATTTCAACCCCCAGGGAGTGTGCAAAATTACCTGGGGGTTCTGATTTGATTCATCTGAGGTGGGGCCCAGGACTCAAGAGTTTTCAAAAGCTTCTTGGATGAATGTGATATGCACAAAATTTTTAATTTTTAAATTTTTATTTGTTCATTTTTTTTTTTACATTGAATGGTGTGAGGGAACTGGATCCTACTGGTTCTTGAAAGTTATTATTAAATATTAAGGAATTTCAAGAGTTGGACAATCACCGGTAGCTTGAAACTGCCCCTGGAGGGCAAATTCACACCATGGAAATGAGCAATCAGGGTCTGAGAGAATCTAAAAACTCCAGGTAAAGAATTCCTCCTTCAAGTACTTTAGTTCTTAATTCTAGTCACAAAGCAGGCCTTTCAGAGGGCTGTCTGACCACAATATTGTCCTGCTGCCCCTTTTAGTAAAATTCTTTCCACCAAGTTGTGTTTTGGCATTTTTCTTTAAGTTTAATTAAGAAGTGCTATTTATTTTAAAAATGATCTTTATCAAACCCATTACTATATACATATTTTACAGGTATATTTGGAGGACAACATTATACTTAACAACCTTCCCAAGTCCCCAAATGAAGCCTCCATGAGAAATTTGTTTTAAAGTTAAATATTAAGAGAAACCCCCATCTCCCCCATCTCCCCCAGCATTGTCCAGGGAAACCAGAAAATTTTCCCTTTGTGGACACTAAGCACCATTATTTTTTCCTTTCCTGTTAGCTGACCAGTAAGTTTTGATCATACTTTTCAGCCCCTGGGGAATATTTCCAACCCTTCCTGGTCATGACATTCTATTTTAATTTATATTTCTTCTGGTACTGAGAGTTCATATTTTGCTGTCTTAGTGTATGTTACTTCCTATAAAGCCTTCTAAATCCTTCACGAAATGAATCAAGGTATGTTTAAAATGCAAACCTACTCACTCAGCTTTTGCCTCATTTATGACTGACACAATATGTTGCTGCTAAGACTCAAACTTGGCTAATGCTGGAATTACCTAGGGAACTTAAAAAATACACATGCCTGGATCCTGTCCTCCAAGATCCTGACTCAGTTGACACAGGCTGCAGTTTTGGTATCAGGATATTTGGATACCAAGGTCTTTCTCCAGTTCTTTCTAACATGTAGCCTGAATTGAGAACCTAGGACCATCATTTTTTATTACCCTTCTGAATTCCCATTCTGTCATGCTTAGAAACCCCAGCCAGATGAGACCCCTTCTCTTCTGTAGACTTATGCCAAAACCAGGGTCAGTTCTGCCCCTTGAATGTGTGAATTCAACTGCAGACTGACAGCCTGGCCAGTTGCCTCCCAGCCCCCACCCTTTCTTGTCTTTCCCCACCAGTCTCATAGCTAAGTCTCCCGAAACAAGAAAGAGCAGTTACCAATAAAATTGTGAAGTTTTCCAAAACGCTATTCATCATATATTTCTCTGGTAAGTGTTTGAGCTTGTGGATGAAGTTGATCATATATTCACACATCGGGGAGCGGTTTATTCGGTATACAAATCGGCCATTCTCAAACCTTGCATACTCCGTCTGTGAGGGAAAAAGGATTTGAGCATTTTTACCCGTTTGACTTCAAAGCATGAAAAAAGATATTATGTCTGTAAAAGCATTTTACTTTTTCAAAATGAAATGTCTCCTATATACTGTACTGTTTATGCAGTTTACTTAATTCTTAAAAAATCCTTTATCCAAACTTAATACTATTAAGTTAAGTCAGAATTAATTATTTTTCTGGAAATTAACAAAAAATTGGAAGGTGTCTCATTAGAGCAGTAAGTAGTGCATCAATCTTATTTTAAAAAATTGGAAAGATGATAGCTTTATAAAGAGTTCTATAAATCCTTTCCAGTAAAGGTCAGAAAAAAAGAAGAAAAAACCAACTACTTAGTGATTCTCTACCTGGAGATCTGTAAGAGTAGGACCAGCTATTTACAATTCTTCAAAGAGCCCGAAGAAGGTCCTTCTTTACTGTGATAAGGCCTCTCAGGCCAACTACCAATTCAGCTAATTTCTCTGCTTTAGGAAAAACTACTTCACACTCACCATGAGCCCTGAATGTTAGCTATGTATGCCTTTAATCAGAAAAAGAAAAAAGAAAATACTTGTATATATGCAGTTTGAAGATCCCACTGAAGCACTCAGAAATAAACACAATCCTGGATAACCTTGGATCAAAAAGGAATTAAAAAGGAAATTACAAACTATCCAAAGAGTAATGAAAAGGAAAATACATCAAAACTTAGGGGACCCAGTGAAGCTATACTTGGAGGAAACTTAATGAAACAGCTTCATGTCTTCATCATTAAAGATGAAAAATTACAGAAATAAATACACATCTTAAAAATAATTAAAACCCCACAAAATAAACCAAAACCACACACAAAAAAAGAAACCAAGAATAGGAAATTAATAAAGATAAAAGCTCAAAACAATAGAAATTTAAAATGCAGAGAGAATAAATGTAAAAAATGTTTCTTTAAAAAGACAAAATAAAATAAATAAACCCTTTACGACCCTGAGGAGAAAAAAAGGAAAGGGACAAAGCCATACTACAGTACAGATCAGAAGACTTACAAGGTTACTTCACACAACTATAAGGGGGGGAAAGCAAGGAAAACCTAGAGGATAGGATGCTTTCCTAGCAAAATACAAATTTCTAATACTGAACCATTTTAAGTTGAAAAATTCAATTAGTCAGTGATTGTGGAAATGACTGGAAAGTTGTTCATGGATCTACTGCTGAAAGGGGTACAAAGACCAAACGGTTTCACAGCCAAGTTTTCTGTAATCTATAAAGAATAGTTATTTTCGATGTTATTCAGACTATGCCAGAGCACAGAAAGTGGTAGGCATTCCAATTATTTTTATGAAAATAATATACATTTAATACTGAAATTTGACAGCTTATTATAAAAAGCATAGACCAGTATCAGTTATGACAGCAATTTTCAACCTTTTTTATCTCATGGCACACATAAACTAATTATTAAAATTCTGTGGCACAACAAAAAATACAGTAAATATTTTGCCAAGCTGACAAAAAAAATTGGTGTAATTTTGGATTCATTCACCCTGCATGGCAAGTGTTATGTTGGTTGTTGCCTTTTTTAAATCTGAGGGAAAAGACGTCAGTGCCCCTGAGACATCACATGTAGTAAAAACTCCTACAGCACTCCAGTGCGCCTCCTCTTTTGGCACACTGGCTGAAAATCGCTGACTTCTGAGGTGCAGAAATGCTATGTAAAATAGCAAACAGAATGCATCCGTGGGACCAAAGTAGGGCCTTCTTCAGAATGCTGTGGCCGTACATACACTGGACATAGATTAACTTGTGATGTCAATAAATGGAAGAAAATCAGAGAAAAATCATATAGTCAGAGTTGCTGAAAAGGAATTTGATAAAATATTGCAGCTATTTACTCATAAAAACCCTAAGTAAAATAATTATAAAAAGAAAGTACTTAAATGTAAAATAAAGGCCATTTATAAAAGCCAAGAATAAATATAACCCTACATGGCAAAACAGCAAAACGGTGTCTATCAACATCAGGAATAACATAAGGATACTGCTATTTTATACATCACTATTTCTTTTTACAACACTGATGGAGGTTTTAGTGAACCAAAAGGTGAGAAAATAATAATTTTTAAAGACTAGCATAAACACTGGAAAAGAAGAGATAAACTAAAGCTGCTGCTAAGATTATGCACACAAAGAACCCAAGAACCCGGGGGAAAGTGACGAGAAATAAATAAGAGAAATATGGTATGATGTTTTGAAAGAACATAGATATATAAAAACCAAGAGCTTTTCTTCTAGTAATTAAAATCTAGAAACAGAAAATTGTATTAACAAGTTATGTAATATTTAGAAATATATTTAGCCAGAAAGGAATAAACCTATATATAAAAATAATAAAATGAGATTGAGATGCAAATAGGTTCTTGACTGGCAAGATTTAATATAAACAGTATATCAATTTTTCCCAAAATAATATCTAAATCGAATGGAATTATATTGCTCAAATAAGATTTTGTTTCTCTTTACATTTATAAAATGGTCTCACCATTTGGAAGAATAAATGCTGGTTATTAAGCTAGAACATATGTGAAAGAAGATCAGTGAGACTGATTTCCTCAGCAGGTATCAGAGCATACCATAAAGCTGTTGTAATTAAACACAAATAGCATTGGGACATAGAGACATAGAGGGCGGAGAGAATAGGGAAATGCCACGAACAGCTGCCAGTTTATGTGGTAAGTTCAAGGACACATATTCATTGAGTTGGAAAAGGATGAATCATTTGGTAAGTGGTTTTGACACAAATGCCTATCTACTTGGGAGAAAATGTAAGCAGACTCCCCTTATACGCCTAATGCAGAAATACATTCTAAACGGATTAAAGCCTTAATTGTAAAACTCTACCTGCCACACTCCTGCTACCTTCTCCGTGAAAATTCCTGGGATTTCATCAGTCAAAAGCAATCTTCCTTTGCTCCTTGAACTACTGAACTAATATAGAGCTTTGAGTGTGTTACCCGAGGACACAATGAAGGATAATTTAAAATCTGGGAAACTAACTTGTGTGGTTCACCTCTTCTCATATGCACCTGTCCAGGCAAGAAATACACCTACAGATGAGCCCTGACAACTGACAACTGGGCTATTGGGCAGCAGTGCCTACCACTAACCTTCCAGGTTCCCAACCAGGGACAGGTAACGTTGCTTGCTCCTTCTCAAAGGAGATGGAGGTCAGCCTGCTCTAGGTCTCCTGCGTTTGTTTCATTGCATAGTCACCTTCTCACCAACCCTTCCCCAAGCTTCCCAGATGCTGCACGGAGACAGTCCCCCCCTCCCGCCTTGCCCTCTGCTCCTTGGTTTGTGTCTCCCTTCCACACACTGCAGGGTTGGCAGCTGCTCTCCAAATTGACTCCTTATTTCTATGTTTTTGCTATTCCCTCTCTGCAGCTAGATCTACATTCCCATAGCTTTAATTATCCTTAATGCTTAGGATTCTCAATTAATATTTTCAGTCTTTACCTATCTCCCAAATTTTAGTCTTGCATCCACAATCATGTCCTATTTCCTCTTGAACACCGTATTTCCTTCTCTCTGCTGGTGACAGCACTGTCCTTGCAAGGATGAAGTGTGTGGCCTCTGACTCCTCCTCCTCCTCAATCTTAAATATCCAGTCAGTTTCTAAGTCCCATTCAAAGTGTCTTACTGGATTCTCACTGCTACCAGTTTAGTGAAGCTCATGGCCCCTAAGCTAATCGGATCTTCTAGTCAACTCACCCACCTCTTTCTCTGTCAGTGTCCCCTCCATTCACACCACTCTCAGGACGCCTGTCCTGCACTCATGCAGCTGAGGGCTGGGCTGCAGCCCCCCAAATCCTCCCTGTTCAGCCCAGGGTCTTAGAAAACACACCCTTCCTCCTCACTCCCGGGCGCACTGCCCCCCAACAGTGCAAAGTCTTTGTCACAGTCAGGGCGGGCTTCCGGACATGCGAAGTCCAGGACTGCTGTGAATAAAAGTTTCTCACTGAACATGGATCGACTGGGTGATGAGCAGAGACACTGGAAAAACCTTTAAATGCAATGTCAACGGCAAATGTCATTCACACGAAGCAACCCACTCTGATAAAACAAACACACATTTTTTTTGAAAAGGAGGGAGCCGTGAAATTACAAAGCCATAAACAGGTACTTGATCCCAGTATGTACTGGAATAGACCTAAAAGAATTATAACAAAGCGGGTAGAAATGGCAAAAGCAACAATACCAAACTCAAGGTACTGGGGTTTAGAAGGCTGGAGCTCATCAGCTGAATACCGCCTTGGCTGCCTCAACGGCACCTGGGAGTGCCCTCGGACCTGGAGGTGGGGCGGGGAGGCTGGGGAGGCCTCATGGGATGGGCAGCAGCTTCCACACCAGGGCACTCCCACGAGGCCTCACGCAAGCCCGAACACTGTTGGCCGGCCGGGCAGGGTCAGCTTCAATAGTCAAGGAGGCTGCCATGGGACTTCCTCCTGGCCTCCTTCCAATTGCTTTCAAATCATTTTGCCTTGTTAGAAGTAATGGGGAAAAAACTTAAGGAAGGGGTGGTGGAAAGGAAGAGGCACCAAAAAAAAGTAAAACTCTTTGTCCCAGTAAAGATTTAAAAGACAGCAACAAACAGCCTAGCCTTGAATGAAGGTTGCAGGACACAGAGGCCAACTTACCTCTACTTTTTCTACTACTTGCTTCCCAAAGGAGCAAACTTTGGTGGAACAGGTGACTGTCATATTTTCAGAACTCTCATACTGACTGGTTACACCATAAAAAGCCCCGGCATCGTCTTGAATATTGCAGTTTAAATCGGCCTGTGGGAAAGGAAATGGAGGTGAGGGTTATGTTCACATCGCGGGGGGTCACAGCAACAAGCAGCGGCAGGGGCGGGGGGGCAGACCTGCAATTGGGTGAGGAGGGCGGGGGTGGCCCAGGAGGTGGTGAGGTGATGCTCGCCCAGAAACAAGCACCAAGGTCCATCCGTCCTTTTCTTTTTTTTGAAGAGAGTATTAATTTGGGCAGTCTTCCCTTGAAATGACCCACTACATGAACCTACTTTGCTTCACTTTCTTGCATTTGGTATCAGAATGCTGCTGCATCCTTGTAAAAAAAGAAAAGGCCCATGGGGTCTTAAAAATGTGCAGAAAGCAGTATTGTTGACCCTTGAACAACATGGAAATCAGGGACTCTGACTCTGCACACAGTTCAAAATCTGTGTACAACTTACAATAAGCTAAGCTAAAGGAAAAGATACTTTAAAAAATCCTAAGAATACATTTACAACATTTGTTGGAAAAAATCCACATATAAGCAGTTCAAAATCATGTTGATTAAAGGTCAACTGTATATGAACTGAATTCATATTCACTAATCTCTAGAGATACTTAAAAGAACAGGACTATCTACAGCTGACTGGCCATTTGTTATACATGTAAAAACAGAAACTTCACTATAAATTAAGTATCTAGAGGGGAAACAGTTGTTATTAAAGGCTCCCTTACAAAGATGCTAATATTTAACACAAACCACCACTCATTTAACACATTTTTATGAGTACCTGCTATGTGAGGCTCATGCTAGACACTACATAGGACCTGACTACAACCTAATGTGGGAGATATGCACATAAAATAATTTAGGAAATCAGTACCAGGTCAAAGGTACTCAAGAGTTCAGACAATGGGAGGCATTACTTTCACCCAGGAGTGTTATTTAAGGGATGGTTAAGATTTAAACATGCAGAGAAGGGCTGAGGGAATAGTGTGGGCAGGAGAAGCCCACAGAGCCTCATTCTTGCTACGCTGCAAGGTCTAGGGACCCTGGGAAAAAGCAAGTTTGGAATGCAGCTAGGTCCAGTTCTTGGAGGGCTAAACAAGGAGTGTGGGTTGTATCCTGTAGGAAATGGGGACCCCTTGAAAGTTTTGGCACAAGGAACAGATGTGATCAGAACCGTACTTCAGAGTTAAGTGTCCAAGCAAGGCCTAAGGGCCATTGGAAAGGGAGGCAGGGAGGCTTGGAGCCTGTAGATCCGGGATTGATGGTTCCCTTCCCTTGAATATATCTTCTGACCCCTACTGCTCATCAGGTAGGCGTGTGACACTGGGGTCAAAGGGTGAGCAAAAGCTGAGCCTGTCCCTGCTGTCAGGGGACTTACGGTTTAGTAGAGAGGACATTGCAACAGGGATAAACACTCCTGAGAGAGGCGCAAAGGGACAGAAGAAACCACAGTGGGGAGGGGGCATGTGGGAGTCAGGAAGGCTTCTGAGGGGGATGCAGCACAGGCCCAAAGGAGGAACTGCCGGCTTAGGCAGGCAGAGCACGCTGTGAGAGGGGCGACGTCCAAAGGCACATGGCGGAAACAAGGACTAAAAAAGGCCTGCAACAGACAGCAAGGGACAGACGGTGGCAGAAGAGGCTGGGGAGGCGGGAAGGATCGGGTCTTCAGTCCTGAAACCAGAGGGCCTCGGGAATGGTGAGCACACGGGATGGAGACAGTGAGGGGCATGACCAGGTCTGCATTCCAAAAAGGCAGCCCTGACCGCAGCCTGGGGAAGACTCTGGAAAGGTAAGAGTGAATGCGGAGCTATATTAGGGCCCTTTGTGGTAGTCCAAACAAGAGAGGGTATTAGATTACTGTTGTAACTGTTGAGACAAAGACAGTTCTGATATTCAAATGAAACTATACATATTTTGTGAGGTGTGGCATATTTTGACTAGCTAATTTCAATACCTTGACAGGAACTAATTAATCACCATGAAGGCCTGAGTCATTCTCTCTACATTTTTAATAAGGATCTGCATTTGAATTTCCTTCTTGAATTGAGTGTCAGGAAAATGCCCATTTCCTTAGGCAACACTTTGTATTTTCTGGCTTCATATAAAAAGAACTATATACTTTATATTCCTCCTTCCACCTTATGTGCCAAGAAATTTACAGCTAAAGCCAGTGCTCAACTACAGTAATTACCTTTACCCCACGTACTTCTAATAGCTACTAACAATCAGTATCCAGCTCCTTTTACTGGATCCCAATCTGTTTTCACTTGTACTTGTCCAGTTTTATATTATCTATAAATTTAGTAGCACTCCCTCACACTTAGCATTTTGGAATTATATGGGGCATAAATTGCAAATAAATGAAAATACCCAAGTGTGCATTTTCCTCATATTCAAAGGTTTGACATTTGGCTCCATGGGAGGGCAGCTTATAGGGGGAAAAATGGGCATCTTTGCCTAACTGAAATCTGTATCTGAGCTACCCAAGGCTGAAGAGGCCTGGGGTCTACCTGAGCTCCTGCCTCTAGAGGAGAAGGGTAGCAACATACTTGAGGCCCACGGGAGCTCTGACACTGGGATTACTAACTAGCTTTGGACAGGGCACAGAAAGCAGGCCTGCCATTGCCTTGTTCTGCCACCAGCTGAGAACACATGGCTCTGGGAGGTGGCTCAGGTGTTTTGTGGTGTTGGGATTACCAGTGATCTGCTTTGTGGCTTTTATACCCTTACCAGATGGCCCTCCCTATTCGTGGGTTTCATATCCATAGATTCAACCAACCATGGATTGAATATGTTCGGGAAAAAAGGTTACACAGCTGTAGACGTTTACTATATAGTTAGACCTGCAATAGTTGCATCTGCACTGAACACGAGCAGACTTTCCTTGTCATAATTACTTCAACAATATGGTGTAACGACTATTTACATAGCATTTACATTGTATTTGGCCTTATGTGTAATCTAGAGAATGCTTTAAAGTATATGGGAGGATACCTGTAGGTTATATGCAAACACTACACCATTTCATATAAAGGACTTGAACACTTGCACATTTTGGTACCTGCAGAAAGTTCCTGGAACCTCTCCCCTGCGAGTACCGAGAGGCGACTATATTACAATGCAATTTGTGTCAACAAGTGTTAGCGTTTTTAAAATGTAAAAACACTCAGGCGGTAGTAAAGAACTCCAACTAGAAAAAGGGTATGCACTTTATTTCTACCCCTGAACTTGCCAGCCTCCCCAGGCAATCGGTGTTATCTGTTTCTCGAGGGGCCTTTTAGAAATATTTAGCATTTAGATATTTAAAACATAGATACCCCCCATTTTTTTGCAAAACTGCACTTTTAACCTTATTAAAAATTTATCTGTAACTACGTCTTAGAACTCATACAGTACTGATATAGATTATTAATATTAAAAAGAACAGCCATTTGAAAAAGGAACAGACACATGTTTTAGTGGCTACATGCTATTCCATTGCCAAAATGCCCCGTCATTTAGTAAGTGCTCTCCTGATGAATGTTTAGGATGCTTCCCAACAATGGTTTAATGATGAGTTTATGTGGAGCAGGAAAGGGCATCAGAATTATTTTTACTTTCCTTTCTTTCAACATTAAAAAAAATTTCCCAGCTTGGAAACAGTGGGCTATAAATGCACTGCTAGTTAATATTGAACACACTTGCTACTTTGATGTAATCAAGTTGCTCTGAAAGACTGGAAAGCAATCAAAAGCAGTTAGGTGCTTGTGGCAGAAGGGGTGGATTGTGGCAGGGGCACAGGGAAATAAGCCACAGGTAGAGGCATCAAAGGGAGAGTAAAGGCACTTAAGTTATTTGTTTTACACTGTCAACCCTAACTTACTTAAGAATTACACCACAACTTTCGAGGCATAATATTTTGTTTTCTTTCATTTTTTCTTAATGCGGTTTTTCTTTCTATTCATTTCCATGGCATTATTTTTGATAAGCAAAATATTTGCAATATAAAAAAGCCTGGATACTTAAGATCTTAACCAAACACGGAATAAAAATACAAAACAATCTGTCAGTAGGTACAATTTAAAGGTGTTAACCAAGTTCAGAATACTATTCGCCATAATGCGATGTCAGGACACTTGCTGGGACTTTTCACAGCTCTCTCGTTTCCATGCCCATGGGTCTCCGTGCATAAGCGACGCCGGTGAACGGATGCCCCAGAGCGGCAGCGCTCCTAGTAGATCTTGGCACTTAACCGTGGGTCATATTTAAGACCCTCTTCCTTTTCCCGGACACAATTACTTTCAATAATAATCAGCACTCTATTCCGTTTTAAATTTTAAACACAAAAGCTCCCAAAGCAGTAACAGGGAATAAGAGATCTGAAGTGACTCAGGTTCTGTTTCTTTATTTTTGTAATGAGTGTCATCATTGCTCATTTCTGACTCTACCTTTTAACCTGTGAAGAAGCAGCACCACAGAGACTGCAGCTCAAATGATCCCAAACTGTTAAGAGCTTACATCAGAAATAAATACAAGGCTGAGTCCACACATGTTATTAAAGGATTAGTGACATAATGAGTAAGTAATATAAGTATGCTTATTTAAATCATTTTATCTGTATGTACATATGTATATATGAAATAAAAACACAACGCTAATTTCATTAATAGCTTAGGGCTTAGGCCAACAAAGGTTTTTTTTTAGGAGTATGTTATCGATGGCGCTGTTTAGAACTGTGAACAAGAGGTGGCAATAAAAATGAAGACCATTTTTTGATGGTAAAACCACCTGTGGATAATAAACCTCCTTACTGCCTGGACCTGAGGTAGACTACGCCTGCCGTCTCATCTTCGGTTGACCACTGTCCCTTAGAACCCCCAAAATAATGTTAATTAGCTTTAATTGGAAATGAATAACCTGTAGTTATAATGACAGGAATGATCAAAAATGAAATTATGCAAGAATACACATTATGAAAACCTGCCCTCAGAAACTGTCTCAACAAATTATGAGTTATAGTTATCATGATTAGCTTTTAAGTGAAATTAAAGGGTAACAT